GCGGAACCGGGGTGGGAGGCAGCGGTGGGGGCAGGCTCGGAGCAGCAAGATTGCAGGATGCTTCTGCCCTCGGAGCTGGTGCTGGGGATGCGAGTGTCTGGGCTGTGGCTGAGCCGGGCTCAAGGGCAGTGGGGCTGGAGTTGGGGTCTGCTGGGGTCTCATAGACCCTCCTTGGGTGCAGGATCGACTCTCAGCAGGGGCGAAGGGCTGTGGGGTGTTTGTGGGGATCACAGCCCGACCTGTGTGACCCGAGCCACTGTGAGCGATGCCTGGAGACGGCAGCGAGGGGAGACTTGCAGCTTTGCAGGGGGAATGAGGGGATGGAGCAACAAAAAAAGCTACATCCATCTTCTCTTTGGTCCTGTGGATGGGACCAGCAGAAAGCAGGGACTCGAGAGCTTGGTGACAGGAAAGCAGGGCTGGCGCACGGGCACCATGGGGTGCAGGCAACTCACTCAGCAGCATGCCATGATTTTTGGTTTATTCTATTTTGTTCCTAATAGGTTATAATCACTGCACTGCCCCACCTGACTCTGCTATCAGTGGCTCTGCTGGGTCCGGTTACGCTGCATTCAAGCATACCCCAGTGCAGACACACTGAAGGACTATCCTGGTTGCCTCTGCATGTCCTCAGGAGAAGGTGCAATTCTCTTGCTTTGGCCACCCAGTGTAAATCCACGTTTTTTCATTCAAAAAAATCACCTCCTCCAGAGTGAATCCTCCCACCAGACCCCAAAAGGCAGCTGCCGGTCCCCTGCCCCCAGGGAGACCCCGAGAGCGGGCAGCGGGGCTGGCAGCAGCAGCTGGCCCCTCCACGAGCCCGGAGGCGCTGGGGCAGGACCCGGGGGCAGGTTAGGGCTGTTGGGGGGGCTGGCTCGGAAGCCTGACGTGAGGTCTCTGGATCCTTATCTGTAAAGGAGGGACAGGCCACGCCATGCTGTGGGCGCTGCATGGGCTCCGTTCTTCACAACGAGCTCAGACCGCGGTGCAGACCCCAGCACCAGCCAAAGCATCTGTGATGCTGCGGGATGAGGCATGGTTCCCGAGCATCTTTGAGGCACAGGGTCAGGATATCAGTCCCCAGCCCATGCCCCACCCCCCTCCTCCAACCCCCCATGGGGACAATAACCCCGCAGCAGACCTGGGCTGAGGGGTCGATGGCCTGGAGTTGTGGTTCCCAACGCCTTCCTGGGGAGTGGGTGGACTCTGCCCGCTCTCCTGTCATCATCAGAGCTGGAGCGGGGAAGATGAGCAGAGCTCAGAGAAGACCAGAGTGACGCAGAACTTGGGGGGCTGGGGAGGTGGTCATAGGGATGTACTCACAGGAGAAGGGCTGTGGCCTCCAGAAGCTCTCCTTGACCCTAGAAGGAGAGGAACAGAAAGGGGATGACACATTGGGGGGGCCAGGAGAGCCCCTGCCTGGTCCTGTCACCTGGGTTGGATGGGATCGGGGAGCAGTGACTGAGTGTGGGGGTGAGATGAGGCTATGAGAGGAGGAAAAGCCCCAGTTGCTGCTCACACTCAATTTCTGGCCTTGCACAAGTGCAAAGGAACAGAGGCGCTTCCCAGAGAGCCTGGAGCGTGGCAGCAGGGGTAGGACACAGATCCCACGGGTGCAGGGGGCTTGGCGGGGGGCTGAGCTTTCCCCAGGTGTGGATGCCATGCCAGGACCAAGGGCTGGGGAAGAGGGAAGGAGGTGCTGGTGCTTCCACCCCAGCTTTGCACCTCTTCAGCCATCTGCTGCCTCCCTACACTGCAGAAGAGCAAGGTCCAATCTTGCAACCACCTTTTTCTTGCTACAGACCAGCTCTTTCCAGGGCAATGTGCAGTGGAAATCATTTGGATGGTATTCAAATGAAAAATAAATAGAAAGACTGTCTGTAACCAAGCACCGGGTGAAATGAGGAAGAAATGCAAATATTCCCTGACATGGGGGAAAAAGGAAAGTAGTGTTCACCACCCTGACGTTATCACATCCCTAAGCAACAGATGACTGGGAAAGGGGCTGGAAGATCTTAGAAGACCACCCGGCTCAGCCCTTTCCCCAGGGAAGGTTCCCCCTGCCCGGGCCAGGCTGGTCCCACAGGTGGTGGACCTTCCAGAGATGGATTTTCCCGCAGTTTTTCAGACTGGCAAAGCTCTTCCTCACATACAACCTCCATGCCCTGCTGCACCCGCAGCACCCACCCCTGCACGAGTCCAGCCCACGTCTCACCCCCGGTGCCGATGGCGGTGCTGGCGGCAGAGGTGCGAGGCCAGGCAGGTGGTGGCAAGCAGGAGGCAGAGCAGAGCCAGGGCTCCCAGCAAGATGCCGAGGAAGGCGGCGAGGCTGACGGCCAGTCGCTCACACCGGGTGCCGGCAGGGGAGAAGATGGAGAAGGGGAGGCAGCTGTGGATGGGGAGGGAGAAGCAGTGATGCCATGGGGAGACGTAGCCATGCCCGGTGGCCTTGTCTGTCCCCAGCGCCGCTGCTACCTGCACGTGGGCCCCTCAGGCAGGTGCTGACACCGGCCGCCATGCTGGCAGTAGCCCATCTTGCAAGGGGAGATGCAGACGAAGCCGACAGTCCCCACGTAGTGGAGCTGGTAGCCTTTGTAGCCATACAGACCGCAGGGGAAATAGCGCCTCAGCTCAGCCACTGTCACTGGGGAGGGACGGCATGGGTTCGGCCATGGGGCAGCATCACCTCTTGATGCTTCCCCAGGTCTCCCTGAGATGAGTCCGTGCCCGGGGTGGGGACTGCTGCCCGCCCGCCTCCCCTGCGAGTGTTAGCTGCACCCCAGGGTATGCAGGGTGATGGGGACAATGGGGACAGCGGTGGTGCTTCTCTCCAGCTCCCCATCCTGGTGTCGGGAGTAACTCACGCTTCACCAGGTCGGTGACATTGTCCCGGTGCAGGTGCTGGAAGAGGAGGGGCACATTCACCTCCCTCCGCCCCCGCCGCCCGTTGAAGGCACCAGTGATGGCCCCCGGCAGCTCCTCATTCAGGAACCGGATGACGGTGCTGCGGCTGTTGTAGGTGAACTCAGACACCACCACAAAGGTGAAGCCATCGCCGTCTGTCCTGCAGGGAAAAGACTGGGGTGCTGGCGGAGCCACTGCTGCATCACAGTGACCAAGCCTCACCATGCCTCAGTTTCCCCATTTCTGGGGTAGTAAAGAAGGGATGAGGCAGGGGATGGAAGGTGCCATGGGGCTTGTGTGGAGAAACAAACTTTAGGGTGGGGGAAAATGCCCTTTGTGTCCCAAACCCTGTGGCCCTATGCCCAGCCCTGCCCCGCTGGCTCCCTGGGGTGGGCAAGGGGCTGACTCACGTCTGGGTGATGTTGGTGTTGCTCTGGAAAGCCTTTACCTCCAGGGAGCCCAGGATGGCCGAGACCTGTGGCGGAGGGGAATGGGAGGGTGTTAGGGGAGGGCAGGAGGGCACGGATGCAGGGAGAAGCTGAAGGACGATGCAGGCACTGTGGCCGAGCCCCAAGGGCTGCTCTGGCCTTTTGTTCATGTGCTGGGGACCTGGCACACGGCCATGGCCGCAGCCGGCATCAGGCAGCTGCCACTGCCTCCCTCCGGCACTGTGGATCTGCTGGATCCCCAGAGATCCCATGGGATAGGGGTGCACGGAGGCACGGGCACCCCAAGCTCCCATGCTGCCCAGTGTGCTGCTGCGTCCCCCTCCCCGAGCCCATCCGCTCCAGCGACATACGGTGCCGTTGACTTCCATGGCAGTGGTGTTTTGCAGTGTCCTGACCCGCAGCCGGACGCTTCTCCGGGGAAGATCTGCAGGGGAGAAGCCACAGCGGTGGCTTTGGCATCCCAGGACTGGGGCGAGTGGGGTTGGGGTTCACCAGGCGCAGGCACTCACCTGCGCTGGGCAGTGGCCGAAAATCCCCGCCGGCCACCTGGCACCGCTGGTCGGTGAAAGCTGGGGGGCAGGTGCAGGCAGGGATGCAGGTGATGGGGTGCAGGCGGCAGTGTCCCCCGTTGCTGCAGTAGCCCTCGGGGCAGGAGCGGGAGCCGCAGGCTGAGCCACAGCCTGGCCCCTCGCCTGCGGGACAGGGAGCCCAGGTCAGGTGGAGGCATGAGCCTGGCTGCAGGCACGGATCCATCCTCAGCTGCTCTGTAATACCTTTCTTCCAAGGGTGGGTATTTTTTCTTTTTTATGTATTAGGACTTCTAGCATAAATTCAGATCCTCAAGAAAAAGCCCTGCACCCCGTGCTCCCAGCTGGAGGCTTTTGCCCTTGTGAAATTCCAGCCTGCTTCATTGGAAGCAAATTGGAGCAAAACCCGTCACCCCAACCCCACCACAGCCAGCTGAAAACGGCATTTGATTTTAGCCCCCCAACCTCCACAAGTACATTTGAACTTTGATGAGACTTCTGGTTTTTCTCAAAGAGAAGAATTGCATGGGAAACATTTCCCTTCCTGGTGGATTAGTGAGATCTGCGGTGTGGGAGCACGAGGGGCGGCCGGACTCTGGTCCCTTCTGCTGAGAACATCAAGGGCTTGGGTACAGAGCTCAGCTAGCTCCCCCTCCTCTCCTCTCTGGCCAGTTTGGGTCCTGCAGGAGCCCTCTTCCACCAAGGTCCAGGGGTGATGGGGACGAGGACCATGCCCACCAGGGTGCCTGTACTCACCCTCCTTGCCGGCCGGGCAAGAGCAGGCGTAGCTGCCCACCGTGTTGGTGCAGGTGGCGTTCCCTGGGCACGCTGTCCCCTGCGCGCACTCATCGATATCTGCTGAGGCAATGCAGCATGACACCGGGAGAAATACCTCGGCTGGGGTCCCGCGGGCGCTCAGCGTCCCGGTGGCCACGGTGAGCCCTTGTCACCTGAGCAGTGCCGCCCGTCGCCGGTCAGGCCGGCTGGGCAAGGGCCACAACCGGTGTGCGGGTCACAGCCCACGCCGGGGAAGCATCCCTGGGCACAGGGGTCCGGAGGGTCCTGGCAGAAGGGACCCGAGTAGCCATCCTCGCACTTGCAGGCTGCCAGCTGGGAAGGGAACAGTGACACTGGCTTAGGGGACATGAGGAGGACGGGTGGACAGAGAAGACAGCCGGCATGGCTGGCACGGGGACAGGCACGATGTGGCACTGGAGAAGCTTTCCGGCCCCCTACCTGCAGGGAGGACCCCCCAAGGGTGACGGTGTCGCTGTAGTCACACTCCTGGCTCCTGCTGCAGCTGCAAAGGGTGAAGCGGAGCTGGAGGAGAGCGGAGAGGTTGTTGGACCCGACAGCCTCCAGGTTGATGGTGAGCGGGGCCATCCCATGGGGCTCCCACGTCAGGGTGCCGCTCTCTGCCGGGGGGAGAGGTGGGAGTTAGAGGAGGGGGCAGAGGAAAGGGGCTGGGTGGCTGGTGCCCCCCATCCCATCCCATTCCGGCTGCCCCATCTCTCCTTCCTTACCCGATATGTTGAGCTCTGGCGAGAGGTGGGGGACAAAATGTGCGCCCACCCCCATGGTGCGGTACTGCCTCATGACCCTTTCTGTCCTGAAGGCTGTGAGCGACGCATCACCGGTGATAACGGGAGGGAAGGTGTCTGAGGAAAGAGCAGCCCAGCACACAGCGGTTTTTTTGCTATGTGGCCTTGGCACCCCTCAGCTCTGAGTCGCTCCCGGTGAGGATGAGACCCCAGGCAGATGCTGCCATGACTGGCCACCAACAAGGCCCTCATGTTGAACAGCACGGTGTCACCTCCTAGGCTTGGAGACCAGCCAGATGGTCAATGCAACCCAGAGACCTTGCTGGCAACTATCCTGCTGGTGGCACCTCCTAGGCTTGGAGACCAGCTAGCTGGGCAAGGCAACTCCGAGACCTCGGTGACTTCTCTCCTGCCTCACATGGAGCAAGAGAGCCCGGGGGCGAGCAGGGCACTGCCTGGTTACCCAAGCCGTGCCCTCTCAGAGGTGAGGATCTGCTCCACTTACTGAGTACTGTCTTCTTCTGCTGGAAGTCAGCTGTGAGGCTTTGAGTGGCCAGGCCCAGGGCCACGTCCCCTGTGCTCAGCGAATCATAGATGCACTCCTTGCTGCCGCGGCACTGCGAGACTGCCAGCTGGTACTGACTTTCATTCTCCTGCCGCAGCTGAGACAAGAAGATGGGTGTGAAGTTCATAACCGGTGAGTCCAGAGGCTGAGAAAACAGGCTGTGCTCTCCCACAGCCCCTGCAAGAGAGCACACGGGTATGGCCTTGGGTTTTAAAGGTTTGTTATGTTTTAGGGCCCATTTTCATGGAACAGTGAAGAGACCAAAGGGTTTCACTGGCATCACTTTTGCTCAGGCAAGTGTCTAAATGTCTCCAGCCAAAGCCTGGCCAGAAGGTGCAGGAACAGGGAGATTGTCAAGGTGTTTCCAGAGCCTGGACTTACAGGTCATCCCATATCTGTATATCTCCTCCTCGCTGCTGTTCACAGGGATACTGGTACCGTTCGGCATCTGGAAGTCATCTGCAGGGTCATGGTCCCACACACCTAGTGGAGCATCACCACAAGACTGGAGTCCCCCATGCTGGGGCTGACTTCCACTCTGGTGCTGACTAATGTTTAGTTTAGACCCAGGGGTCCCTGCCCTCACAAGCGTGTTCCCCCAGTGATTTCCAGCCTGCTTTAGGGTGGGAAGGGGTCTTTGCACAGTGCCAGAAGTCCTCACCAAGGAGACCCTTAGTGCTGTTGCGGTACCGATCGGGCAGGCTGCAGACCACACCGAGGATCCCGGAGGTGGCTGAGATGGAGATGGCGATGGCCCCATCAAAGACAGCCGTGATGGAGGAGGTGTTGACCAGCAGGACACCGAGGCTGTAGTACACCTCAGCACCCATGTCTGCAAGAGAAGAGCACAGAGGGAGAGTCCACGCAAGGCTGGGGTCTGAAACGATGCCCCTGAATTCGGGAGGGGAGCGCTCCCCATGCCCCCTGGCTAAGTCAGAGGCAGCGTGCAGGTGGGAGATGTTTGATGGAGCTCAGGATAGCTGCCCTCGTGGTGGGCAGGGCTGGTCCTCGTGGGATTGGAGCACCCCTTGTCCCTCCCCAGATGCATTTAACATTTACTAACACATCTTGCTCACCTTGGGAATAGGAAAACTGGATGGTTTTATTGTTCAGGAGGACTTGGATTTCACCCTGGCTCCCCAAGGTCCACTCAACCTGCAAATCATGACAGATGTCCGAGTCAGCCACTCTGCTCATCCCTTCCTGCCATCCTTCCATGCTGGGGACACTGAGCTAAAATCCCATCCTCCTCCAGCCCCAGCAGAGCGGCTCAGCCCCAGGGGCTGCGTTGGCGAGCTCTTCACCCCAGCAAACACACGATAAGGCAGCTTTGGTGGTTGCAGAGAACAGTTGCAAGCTGGCCCCAGCCACTGCTGGCATGGGGCATACACAGGCCACCACTGTGGCACCGTGGAGAACTGTGCTGGTGGGCTCCAGGCTCTGAGCCCTGTCCTCATGCTGCTCTGCGGCTCCTTCTGGTGACACCAGAAGATTTTGCTTAATGAAACAGGTGTGGTGAGCAATTCTGCAAAGCAAGGAAGAGTACATGCTTGTTCTAAAGTGTCCAGAGGAGACCAGTGGTCGAGACAAAGGGTGTGCAATGAAGAAGGTGGAGCAGACTGTGTTCCTGCAGAGCCCCAGGTGCTTGCTGGCCAGCTTGCAAGAGGTGTTAGAGCTGTGTTTCATTAGTTTTAGTCCAACCCACTGCTATTAGGACTTTGTTGGGGTCGTGGGAGGTGGTGGCAGGAAGAGGAGGGGGGATGCTCCTTGGATCCTGGCCACTTGTAGGTGATCCAGAGGCAATGCTCAACCTGCCATAGGGGTCTCTCCTATTAGAAGCTCAAACTGATACCCATGTCACTTCTACTCACTGTTGTGGTGGCGGCGGAGATGTACTGGGCAGCGAAGGCTATGAAATTGGTGGCTTGGGCTGTCCCAGTCTGGGCCGTGCGCCCATGCAGCACAAAGCTGGTCTGGGTGTCACCGGCCATCAGCAGGACAAAGTCCCCAAGCCCATTGAAGGTGTAGGTGAGTCCATCCAGGGTGGTGATGTGGGGGTCCCCGAAGGCACCAGCTGGAGTCCAAAGGAGATGGAGCCATTTTGGAGGGGGAGGAAGAAAAGCAAATGCTGGTGTCATTGCACGGAGGCAAGCGGCCCCCGGTGCGGCACTGGGCTCAGCAGTCCCCACTGGGATGCTGAAAAGTGTGATGAATGCATGGGGTCTGCGTGCGGCCGTGCCACCTAATCGGTACCCTGGCACACAGCCCTGGGTACTCACCAGGGGTGGGTGGCATGTATCCCTCGCAGCCCACCCTCGGTCTCTTCTCAGCAAACCTGGCGCAGAACAGGGGCTTCTCCACGCGCCGGCAGCACCAGTCGAACGCCTCCAGCTCCCTGTCTGTGGAGGAAGGTGGCCAGGTGATGGGGTCCCCACTGTGCCTGCAGAGCCCTCAGTGCTGGGGGTGTTTGAAGGCGAGGGGACGGTGGGGACGGCTTACCAGCAGCAGGGTGGATGGGGGGGCTCCATGCCCTCTCCTGCCAGCCTTCGAGGAAGCTCCCATCTTGGTACAGACACCGCACCCCGGCTCCGGCCGGGCTGGGGGACGCAGTGCGCAGCATACTCACAGAGGCGTTTGCTGGACCTGAAACGGTGGGGAGGGATGACGGCCACCCCCAAAGCAGGGGGGGACCCCCTGCTGTCCCCACACCCCATGGCTGGCCCTGGGAGGGCCGTGCATGGCACCTCTGCTCCGGCGGTAGCGGGGGTCCAGCTCTGCCTGGGGCTGGGAGCATGGGCATGGTGGCAGCTGGCTGTTCCAGGCGTCCGGCGCTGGCTCTGCGTCCAACCACGCCAGGCACCGCAGCCTGTAGTTCACCCGGGAGCGACTGTCCAGCCTGTATATCCACAGCCCGCGCACATCTGGGGGAGCAACCGGAGAACAGCACAGCTCGGGCAGCATCTTCCCTTGTGCAAAGACGGATCCCGTGGGAAAACAGTCCCCAGTCATTGACCTCACATGAGGTCTCCAGGCTCCCTCTAGAGCCAGCATGGCCGTGGCAAACCGCAGCAGGACACGGGACACCTGTGCTCTGCTCTCGGTGGGCCAGCCTTTGGCCGGTGGCTTTGCTGGCCCATCGCCTCGCAGGGACGCGTGCTGGGGACATGCTCCCGGTGCAGAGCACACAGCTCCTTCCATCCTCGCCCACCCCAAGGACCTCCCCCAGTGCCATACCGGTGTTGGCATCACTGTGCTGGTCAGGTCGGTATTTGACAGCTGGTGGCTGTTGAGTCAGTTCGTTATTTTGGGCATAGCCATCGCCACTGTGTGGAGAGAGGAGTTTTGGGGTCACCCTTCTGACACAACCCTCCTCCCCTCCCTGTAGAGCTGCTGGGGTGGGAACTGCTGGGGTTTGCAGAATGGTTTAAATGGGATAGGGTTGCTCCAGGGTTGGGAGCTGGGCTGTCCTAGGGATAATGTCTCCGATGGTCCCAACATAGCAGTGGGAGAAATCCCTGCTGTCCCAAAACGCAGGCACGCATGTGCACAGCACCTGGAGAAGCCGATCAGCACGTTGCCCGCAGCCAGTTTGGTGTAGTCCCACTGCATCCCACCGTCCTGGTAGAGCAGGAGGGCAAAGGAACGGTTCCCATCGGTGGTGAGGACTGCCTGGTAGGTGCTTGTCTGGAGAAACCCAAGACAGCCCCTTAGCACCCCCAAAACCTCCCCTGCTCTCCCCACAGCACAGACTGAGGTGGTGAGACCCAAAACACCAACATCAAGCCAGGGGAGACCAGCAGCCCAGCTCTGCCTTGGCCATCTCTGGTGACAGTCTTCTCCATCACCTGGGTTCCCCACTGCTCACCTGAGTATCATCTCGCCAGGATGGGTATGCCGGAGCCTTCTCCCACGTCACCTTCAAGGTCCATTTTGCTATGTAGGGGGTTTTCAAGTATTTCTCAATCTTTGCTTCCACGTCATGGACAAGGGGGTTTCCAGCAGAGCTAAGGGTGGAGTACTCCTGCCGGTTGGCAAGCAAGAGGGTTAAATGAGTGCACTGGGAGCTGGGCTCTCCCAGAAGAACATCTTGGTGGCCCCTACCTGGTACCAGGTGGTGCCAACACCCTGGGAGAAATCTGCATCATCCCAAAAGGCGGCCACCATCGGCAAACCCTCCTGGCCGCTGAAGCCCTGAGCAGGTGGGTTGGGGTTGGAGGGGATGTAGTTGTCCGTGAGTGGGAAAATGATCTGTCCGTTATCTGTAAACTAACCAAAATAACTTGTTATTTGCTGACATCCCAGGCAGCACCTGGGGTGGCTTTTAGCCTCCATGGGTAAGCAGAAACCAGCCATTTTAAATTGAAAAGGAAAAAAAAAAATAACATTCAGATGGTTTCTGCTCTGTTTCTGTGGGGTTTTTTTCTACCGAAGAGGCTGCACATCCCTTACGTGCTGGGCAACAGGGGGAACTCACGTAGAGAGCATCTCTCAGCGACTGTCCGAAGGGGAACCCGATCTCTGGCTTGAACAGGGGAGAGTTGAAATCCACTGTCCTCTGGACGCACTCTTTGTCCCCTCCCTCCATGCCGAAGGGGTAGAGCGAGGCCGCTGGCACTGCCACGGGCAGGAGATTAATCAGAAAGGTGAAAAACCATTAACATTTGCTCCATCCTTCCTTCAGCCAGGGCAAACTCACAGGCTTGCCACAAGGATGCTGTGCCTGCACTCCCCCCCGCTGGACCAGCACTCTGTTGGCTTGTAACCCTATTTTTAACCCAGTTGTTAGCTTGGAATAGGATGCTCTCAGATGTCCTATTTCACCTTTTCCCATGCATCTGGCAGCCCAACATGCAATGCAGATGAGTCACCCCGGGCCAGGCTGTACTGCTTGGTTGGCTGACAACCCCTTTCTGCTCTTTGCTTTGGGAAGAAGAAAATCTACTTACTGATAAGCCCGTGGGTGGGTTGAGGCTCAGGCGCAGGAATTCTGTGGCCAGTGGTGGTGTGGGCAGATGTGCTTGGTGCTGTGGCCAGTCCCTTCTGTGTCCCAAAGGCAGGAGGTGGGGCTGTAGCAGAGCTGGTGGTGGCTGGTGGTCTCCCTGGTGCCATGGTACCTGGGGCTGGGAGACCTCCTGCCTCCTTGGCTGGGCTCAGTGGGGCTGCGGGTGCAACAGCCGTGGTGCTGCCTGCAGTGATGGCTGCTGTGCTGCCGCCAGGGGTGGGGGC